AAAATCAAAAAAATTTTTTTATTAAATTGGCTAAGCCACAATGTCGATCATCCAAATTCGGGGTTGTCCACCATGCTCATAACTAATCTCTCTTTTTTTTTTTTTTAACGACTTTATTTATATAATTAAATTGTCACTATATAATTTATTCTATATATTCGGGAAATGTTTCGCTTATTCAGTCATTTATACTCATCGCAATCATTACTTAACAAATTCATTATCAATGCTGCTATAGGACGTAGATGTTATTCGTCATCACCATGCCACTATGGAATATGTATAGATATTGATGGCGTTCTTATAAAAGTACCAATTCACAATATTTCATATCAACCATTAAGATGATTAACAAACTAATTCTTTGTAATTTCGTGGAAAAGGGAAAAACAGTCATACCTGAAGCCAAAAGTGCACTTCAATTTTTGGGCGGCGAAAATAAATTAAAAAAGTGAATTTAGATGTTTAAATTAAGCTTTTTTAATCGAAATGGATATATTAATATGGTTGTCTGTCTTTTCTTTTTATTCAAAGAAAGATTCCTTTCGTCTTATTAACTAACGGTGGTGGTATGACAGAAATAAAAAAGGCTGAGGAATTTAGTGAGATTATAGGTGTTCAAGTATGTAATTATTTAATTCATTGCATTCTACTAAACCTCAGATAATTTTATTATTATAATTATTCTTAGATCAACCCGTCACAACTAACACTAGCTCATTCTCCAATGCGTCAACTTGTACCTAAGTTTAAAGATTCTGAAATATTGGTGATTGGAGGAATGGGTGATAATTGTAAAATTGTTGCTAAAAGGTCTTTGAACTTTAATAACAATATTGAATGTCGGGGATGATGCTGAAATTTTGATCGATTTTAATATATAATTTATAATATAAGAGTATAAGGGAGATAGGGGTATTATGGCGAAGTTAACAATTTCGATCGGATCACGCGATGTATTGATCGAAATCGAATGATTTTGGTGTCATTTGATTCGTCTCATTGAGCTGAATCGATTGATACTAAAAACACTCGATTCTGATTACTAGATCCAAAGATACTTGAGTTTAAAGTTTTATGAAATTTTTTGCATTGGAAGGTATTGTGGCAAATCGAGATATCAACGTTCGTCACTATACCTTTTTATTATAGTATTCTATATATTATTATATATATATATATGGCTTAAATACATGATTCAGTGGTCTAAATTGAGCGATTTTTATATCAATCGATTCCTCTCAATGAGAGAAATCGATTGGTATAAGAATTGCTCAATTTTGATCACTGAGTCACAAAAATGACCATATGTTTATAAACATACAAAAATGTAAATATCTCATGAAATAATGGTCTAAATTTTATTTGATTCTGATCACAGGATCACGAGACATCCCGACTCCCCTATCTCCCTTATGTGGATTTTAGTAGCGTTTACATTTTTAAATTGAGACCCAAATTTCAGCATCATCCAGTTTTACCATCATCCCCGACATTGAATAATAATTTTATATTTGAGGAAATATAATAAATTATGTTCATTTTTCTTAATAGTTATGGTTTTAACCGAGTTGTACTTCCAAATGATGTATTAGCTTGGAAACCAAGTATTTGGCCATTTACCAAGCTTAGAGAAGATGATTTGAAACTTACAAGGGTATTTTACTTAATAATCAATGTTTCTTAATATTAGATTAAATATTAATGAATGAATTTTAAAAAGAAATTGGATTTTTCCAATGTTAAAATCGAAGCTGTTATGGTGTTTCATGATAGTCATGATTGTAAGTACTTTATTATCTTCTATGTTTTATATTGCTTTTCTTGTTTAATATGTATTGAAGAGGTTTCGTTTGACAACTAGGGGGGAGAGATCTACAAATAGTATCAGATATCCTACAAAGTAAAGATGGTTATTTTGAAACTCTTGCCAGTCATGAGGAACTTTCAGTACAGAATATTCCTTTATTTTTTTCTAATCCTGATATTGTAAGTTTTGAAAATTGTAATATTTAAAAAATGGTGTAGTTACTAATTTAAGTTTACAATACGGATTCATTTATTTTATAGATTTGGTCAAATGATTGTTTTATCCCAAGAATGGCTCAAGGTTCTTTTAGGTTATCTCTAGAACATTTGTATAAGGTTTGTTAATAAATCTTATTATATATGTAGTATAGTAAAACTTACAAAGTTTTTAATAGCAAATAACAGGATTACAAATCAAGTACACATTATTTGGAAAGCCTGAGCCAGTAACTTATAAATTTGCACTTAAGCTATTAGAAGATCATGCTTTTGAAGCTACTGGACATCGTTTACCTAATAGAAAGATTTATGGTAGGCTTTTTAAAGACAATACTGTATTAATTTTGTTTAAATTTTAAATTTAAAAAAGCTAAAAAGATTTTTATCTATTATATATAGCTGTTGGTGATAATCCTGCTTCAGGTATGTATTTTATAATTTATAATTTAAAAAGATATTGACAATGTTTTGAGAAATAACAAATAGATGCCATTTTGCAAAAAAAATATGTATTAATGAAAATTTGATTATAATAATTATAATAATTACTGGAATTTTAATCAATATATTATTGTATTTGCTAATACTTTATAGTATTTTATTTTTTTACAATTATATATACCAAAAACAGAAACATTTATCAATATCTGTTTATTAATTATAAACTTATTTTTTCAACATATGCTATACAAATTTACTTATTTTTTTTATCTATTTTTTAAAATTTTATACTGACATTATTTTTCTTTTTTAAAAAACAATAGATATAGCAGGTGCTAATGCACATGGTTGGACTTCAATTTTAGTAAGAACTGGGCTATTTAAAGGAGAAGACAATCATCATTTACATCCAGCAAATCATGTAACTGATAATATTTTACAAGCAGTAGAGTGGATGTTTTATCAAGAAGAAAAAGTTTAGTAATTATATTAATAGTTTATACTATATAATTAAATTTTGATTAATTCTATAATATATAGATTGTATTTATATACAAATTAATAAAATTATATTATTAAATAAATAATATTAATGTTTTATATCATTGATATATAAGTAAATAAATAGACTTCTGTTGATTATTATTATTTATAATATTAAAGTTGAGATGCCTGTCTGTCACATTTAAAAAATCTGATTGGTCAAAACCCAAAATAGTGTAACTTTACATGACCTATGTATGTACTTGATAGGTTAACAAATTGGTTGATCTATAGTATGAGTAGGCAATATAGAATTATTATAAGATTATAATATATAAAAATAACTATTTAAATTAATTTAAGCAAATTTCAGTTACAATATATAACTCTTTCTAACGATCACTAAAACCAAAATTTTTCAAACAATTTTTGTAAAAACAGTAACTAGTAAGTAATGAAGAATTCTAAGTCAGCAGTTGTTATTTAGAGGTAGTTCTCATACGCTATCTGCTAACTTCTTCAGAGTTTATCACTTACTACTGGTATGGCACTTGTCATTTAGAAGTAGTTCTCATACACTACTTGCTGACAAGTTCAGAGTTTATTACTTGCCGTTTAAGTATAGTAGCTTTTCTCCTTTCCTAAAAAAAGGGTTACTAGTCGTCAGTTCTTTCAAGAATAAAATACTCTCTTTGGGTGCTAGTTAGTACTTGGCACAATCAAACAAAAATTTGATAGTCAAATACTTGTGATTAAGTCGGACATCAAATAATCGCTAATACTACATATATACGTATGTAAATCTGATATGTAGTATTGATTAATCTGCAATTGTTTGATATCCGATTTAATCACAAGTATTTGACTGTCAAATTTTTGTTTAATTGTGCTGAGCACTAGTGCTAGTGGTCCTTTCTTGAAGTCTCTTTTGGTCCTGTCGGTTTTCTTCAAAATTTTTGACAAAAAGTGGGCAATTTGGCTTACTTCCTTCAAAAGATTAGCATTGTTTACCTTTCAAATTTGGACATACCCAGGAATGTATCCACGTGCCTTGTTTATCAATAGATACAATACACAACGTAATCTATGGATATGGGTCCTCCACGTGACTAGGATCGGGTCTCTGGTATAAGAGGCATCCGGAGGTGGCTGGTAGTCAAATAATAAAGGTTTTATATTATAGTCAAGATATACAAACATTGCAGTTGCTATAAAATTTTTTCTTAAACCTGGCACGGGTTATAATAGTATATTTCTTCTTGTTTTGTTTTTTTTCTTTCGTTTCTTCTGTGCTATTTCTTTATAGAGGTAATTTCTCCTTTGTCAGCCCTCGGGCTTTTCTTTTTGTGTTTCTTTTTTTTACATCTCATTGTACTCACCTTTTTTCTTTAAAAATACCCCTTCATTATATTTGTCCTTTTTAGTTAGGTTTTCATTTTGTTTTCTTGGTAGTATTGGTGGTTTTGTATGAGATTATCTCTTTCTTTTGCTCTCAGTAAAAAAAGGAGATATGAAGTAAAAAGCTTTGACGGACTGACAAAGTTTATCTAACTTGTATACAGGTTGGTGTGACAAGTCGCAGTTGGGCATGTTTATCGCAGCCGGGTAATATCAGGCTCACAATCGCGAGACTCCCTGTTTTTTGGTTATAAATGATATATGTATTGTTCGAGAGAGCTTAGCTCTCACCTAAAATATAGTCTCAATAAATTGAGCACTAGCAAGACTGTCAAAGACTAAAAAAAAAAAAAAAAAAAGCAAATTTAGATGGTGGCAGTACCTGGCTTGAGATACAAATTAGGATCTGAAGTAACATCTTGAGGGACACCAAACTGGAAGCAAGAAGAGCACCCACTTCTAGGACACCAATTTGGAAGTTATACAAGAAATGAATTAGGAGTAATGTGATAAGTAATAAGGGGTAGATTATAACTAGTAGACATTATACAGTAGTATATATAGCAGGGTATATACAAATTAGTAAAAACATTAAGGTTCTAAGTTAGATTAGAACTTAGAGTGCTTCTTGATAAAGGTACTCGAGGATATCTATCTCACATATAAAATGGTGCAGACGGTTGCATCTGGCGCTATATAGGATAGCTAAGTAAGGTTATAACGACTACTTAGATAGGTTAAAAATATATATAATATATGTAATGTTTACTTAAATAAGTAATAAAGTTAATGACAAAATCGTCGAAATTAAAAAAAAAAAAATTTAAGCAAATTTATAAATAGTTAAGAGTTAGGGTGAGAGTTATAGTTTAGTTTAATTAAGGTTAAATTAAGGTTAGGTTAGGTTAGAGTTAGGGTTAGAGTTTTTATATATTATAATCTTATAATATTTATATATTGTCTACCTATACTATAAAAGATCCACAATCAAAAAAAAATGCCAACTCTTTTTAACGATTACTAAAACCAAAAATCTTACTAACAGAAAAACATAATTTTTGCTGGAGAGTTGCGGCCTATGTAGTGGTTTGTCTAGAGATCAACGTTTCTGCTATATGGAACTTCTCTAAAGGGATATTCAGCATGCAATCCAGAAGCATTCTTATACAAAATAACTGGCAAGAAGTGCCCTTGTATAAAAAATCTTGGTGAAGAGTAGATAAAGCCCAACTTCATCGATGAAGCTTCTAGGTCATTACTTCAAAAAATATGTTTTTCTTAAGCCACACTCTTTTATTTGGTCAAGTGGTTCTTTTTTTACTCTTTCTCGTCTCCTCGTTGGTCTTCCAAAAAATTTTAATAAAATGTAGGGATTTAGCTTACCCCCTTTAAAAGATCGGCATTGTTTACCTCCCAAATTTGAACAGACTAGCGGAATGCAACCATGTGTTTGTTTACGGACGGATACGGTGCTATTTCACAGGACTCAGCCTGGAAACTCTAATTATGGCAATAGGTAGCTTGAGATATGGGTCCTTCTTGGGTTAAGGTAAGTGTAACCCTCAGACAACAGCAGCACCTGGCTCGAAATACGAATTAGAATGGGCAACAAAGTGATTCAGAGTTGGTAGGAAGATCGAAAAGTAACCTTAACATTAAGATGAAGCTTTACAAAAGAGATATACAAACATTGCATTTTGTTATACAATTTTTACCAGCCATGCACAGGTTATAATAGTGCCTTTAGAATCTTAGATTTCTTTTTATGTTTTTTCTTTTTTGCAATCTGTTTTTCTTTTT